CTGAAGCAGCTGTAGTTTTTTATTGTATAAATCCTATACATTCTTCTTTTCGCTACACTTTTCGAGAAAACGAAAAGATTCTCTTACGATACAAACGATAGAGCTTCAACCAACAACATCTATTCGTTCTGGTACTTCTTTCGAAGTGAATGATTTCTCGATCTACAGAGGTTGCTTTCATTTGGCGCAGTGGGAAGTAGCACTGCCGTTGTGCAGAGTTCGATTCTGCTAGTGAAACAACCAGTTCTCCCACTATTCACTCATTTGTTTTGGTGGTTAAGTGGTTTTATTGTAGGTAAGGAAGTTTTGTAAGCGGCTCACAAAAGAAGGAACCACCGATAGCCTTATCAACTGACGGTTACTGCTGGCATTTGCTAACATCCAAGTTACTTCCCGTCTGCCTTCATCTTTCATGGGAGCGAATTCGAGAGAGGCGGGATACTCAGGGTGGTTAAACTTTCGTCTTTGATAGCAAGATAAACAACCTGCTATTTATATTTTTATGCATTTTTGCATATATGCAAATGCAAAAACGCATACTGCGACGACCCCGACATGTGTGTGTCTGTCCGGGTATTAAAATTTGGCACTCACGCAAGCTCCGACGCCAAAATTTTGCCGGCGGGTTCCACAGCAAAGTACCACCACAGGACCGCGGTACTAACGTTCATGCAAATCTGGGCCCCGTGTACGAGGGGGTGAAAGTTTTGGCAGGAAAACCGCTAACTCGGGAACCAGAAAAGCTAGAAAGCTGAAATTCTGAGGTTATGTCCCCCACCCACATGGAACTCAAAAATCAAATTCAGGTATGGGTTGTACCCGCGTATAGTCCCCTCAGGGTCCCGGGCGCTGAAATTGCTAACTTGGGAACCAGGAAAGCTGGGAGGCTGAAATTTTCAGAGAATGTTCTCAACACATGTACAACTTAAGATCATCGAATTCAGCTTCCAAGCAGGAAAACAGCTAACTCTGGAGCCAGGAAAGCTGGAAAACTGAAATTTTTAGGAAATGTCCCCAACACATGTAAAACTTAAGATTATCGAATTCAGCTCCCAGACATAGGTGGTTATCGCGTACAGCCCTATGAAATTTTGGGCGGGGAAATGACTAATTCGGGAGCCAGGAAAGCTAGGAGGCTGAAATTCTCAGGAAATGTTCCCAGCTTGTGTATAACAAAAATTTCTCAGATTCAGCCTTCAGGCATTCGTGGTTCTCTCGCATGGACTCGTAAAATTTTTTGGCAGAAAAATGACTAACTCAAGAAATAGGAAATCTGGAAGCTGAAATTTAAAGAGTATCTTCCCAACCTCCGCAAAAGTTAAAGATATCAAATTCAGCTCCCAGATGAGTGTGGTTCTCATGCACGGGCTCATAAATTTTTTTGGCAGGAAAATTGCTAGCTCTAGAACCAGAGAAGTTGGAAAGCTGAAATTTTAGCGGGATGTTCCCTGTCCAAGTACAGCGTAGACTATTAACTTCCCGAACTTCGAAGATCTGTACGTCATAAACCCTAGCTACTAGTTTCCCAAGTGATTTTATTGCAGCACGAATTACTGCAAAAACCCATGTTCGCACGGACCAGCCCGGTGAGCGTCGCCAATGATTGTGTCTTCCGACGGTACCGACCTAATCATGGTTTGGCAAAGGATTAGAATTTGCATGATTTTTGATTTCTTAACAGCATTCTATGTGGATCCCGAAACAAAACGACAAACACCGACATTCTATTTGATATGGTTTGTCGGTAGCGTTCTGATGGGTATCGTTATTTTACCCTGGTACATTTATTTTATGATTCGTCGACCACAGATTCGAAAACAAGCAGCAGCTAAAGTCAGATATGAATTGCTCGATGTAAGTCCATGCAGCACTGCTACATATTGGAAAATGCGAACTAACAAAAGTAACAGAGTCTCAACTTTGAAACAAAAAATTGGCCAACGCACGGGCTGCCCGTGCGAAGATGCGTTTTTTGCAGAGTTCCCTGCA